GATGCCACACTTACTGGTTCCTCGACATCTCTGCAACACCGTAGGACAGTAGGCGACTTTGCTCTTTTTCATTGATACCCCCGTGTAAACTTTTCTTCATCAGAAATCTTGGATACAAGCTCAGACAACACAAATTTTTGTCGTCAGCCTTTAGACATGTCGAACGGTGAATCTTTGGAATTCTTTGCTATAGGGAAAGTATTCCCAAACACTTATAACCGAGGCATAAACCGCGGTCAAAATTGTGTACATCAAACTTCAATTTTACGAGGAATTCCAAGGAATTTCAAGGAATTCCAGCTGTCTGTACACCAGAATTATACCTCATTTCAAGCAAGGAATTCCAAGAAACTCCAAGGGATTCCACTAAATTCCAAGGAAATCCAAGAAATTCCAAGGAAATTCATGGATTTCCAAGGAAATCCAAGGCATTCCAAGGGAATCCAAGGATATCCAAGGAATTACAGTTGTTTTTAGGCCAGGAATATACCGTACTTCACCCAGGGAATTCTAGAAAATTCCAAGGAAATCCAAGAAATTCTGAGGAAATCCAAGGAAATCTAGGGAATTCCAAGGAAATCTAGGGAATTCCAAGGAAATCCAGTTGTTTGTACACCAAAATTATACCGTACTTCACCCAAAGAATTTCAAGGAAATCCAAGGAAATCCAAGGAATTCCAAGGAAATACCAGGAATTTCATGGAATTTCAAGAAATTTCAAGGAAATCCAAGGAATTTCAAGGAAATTCAAGGAAATCCAAGGAATTCCAGTTGTTTGTACACCAGAATTATACCGCACTTCATCCAAATAATTCTAAAGAAATCTAAGGATATTCAAGGAATTCCAAGGAATTCCAAGGAAATCTAGGGAATTCCATTCCTCGCTTATACGAACAAAACTTCAAAAAACCTTAAACGTTCGCGAAGAGAAATGTTATATTCATCAGTCGAAATGCATCGTTTGCCAATTCGGATGGGCGCCGCATTTTTGCATGGCGTTCATGACCTTCATCGGAATTGGATGCGCCAAAAAAAAACAACACAAAAATTCGACCAGACCAGTCCGCATACCATAAGAGTTGGGCTTTGGGCTGGATGATTTAAGTTTGTTCAAACACGACTTCAGACCCTCGGATATTACTTTTTTTTTCAAATAATTTGGCAAGCGAACGGGGGGGAGAGAGCAGTTTTATTAGCTTTCTCATTACATTATTTTCAGTTCGTCGATATTGAAATAAGAGGTTTCTAAGATGTAGGTTAGTTTTTTAGAGTATGAAGTGTTCGTTGCAGATCTGAAACATACACGTCAAATAAAGATTGAAGACAAAGACGTCTGTTCCATCGACATTATCAAAATAATGATCTCGATATGTTTTCATGAGATTCAAAGACTCCAAACAATAAACATGAACGAGATGTCAATATTCTCGCCTGGAATGGCAAAGACATAAATAAACAAAACCAATATTTTTCTTCGACCAGTGCTCCGAAGCTATCATAAATAAATCATCATACACCAATTAATCTTCGCGGTAAGGATTTCATTATAATTCCATTATGGTTAACAGTCATTCTCGATATGGTGACGACCATAAGATAGGCTTATACAGGATAGAGATGTCGAAATTCTGGGCTTATCTCAATCTCCCTTTGCTTCACCGCAAGATGCATACTATGAAGCAACTTTTCTCGTATCAAACTTTCATTTTGCTCCTATCTGAATAGGATCAAGTTTGGCCGTCTTGCCAATGAGTAATTACAACAGAAGATCAATCTTCTTAATTCATTCTACACGAAAAAAACAAAGGTTTTTTGCATCAACAAAGTACTTGATTTTGGATTATTCCAGTTTAATTGACCAAATTTTCACTAGTTATCTTAGTTTCCTCGTCCTATCTTGCGACAACTTTTATAAACTTGCGAACCGTCACTGAATTTGTTTCAACGAAACAATTTGTCAATCATTTTGGATCGAAACAAAATAATTATTCAAGCCAAGTCAATATCTTTCTCTGAACAGTCATGGGTGTGTTTTGATTGAATGAGATCAGATTCAGATTAAGATTTAATCCCTTATTTTTTCTAGTGAGGTATGGTTTTTATATGGCCCTGCTGATGAAAACTATGAAATTGACCACTCTCAGCAATCATCTTTGATAATGATTTTATAAAAATATACGGAGGACCAAAACGTTGTTTGGGGCGGAAAATTGCCTGCATTAAAAATTTCTCGTTATTTTTAGTGGTTCATAAGCACATCCAATGTCATTTTGATTTAGTCGCTTAAACGGAGCGAGGACTCGGGATGCCGCATTAAAAAAATATTATAAAATCAAGCCGGTCGCACTTTTTGATGAGGCACTTAACTGTCGAATATTGTGGGAAGATGGAATTTAATCCACAATGATGTGCATCACAAGATGACAGCAATTTTAATAGAATTGTGACCGAATTATACATTGTTGGAATGGGAACACGAATATCTCGAAGAATATGATATATATATATATACAGGGTGAGTCATAACTATTGGGACATAGGCTAAGGGCTGATTGTTTGGACCAAAATATGGCGATAGGACCAAATATGACGTGATAAAATATTGCTGTGGAAAAAGATACAAGGCGTTTCAATCGAAAAAGTATTGACTATAAACTCGCACCAAAATTCATTCACTGACAAGAAATGCAATTATTATCTGACAGTTCAATTACGTGTTTCTCGAAAACGGATGAAAATATCGTTTATAAACAAGAGTACCAATATTACGCAAAAATTATGTTAATGTCATATTTTCTTATCAGTGTCACTAGAAAGTTTCGTCAAAGAAGTTATCAGTCGATTTCGTCATCTGGAATCATGCTCGTGGCGCCCGCTGTAACCAACTGTAAAATAATATTCCCTGTATAAAATTATGCCTCTGTGCCGATTTTGATAACAATTGATGAATATACAGTGAAGTTATATATTAGCAAAAAACAAAAAAAAACTTTAACGCACTGTATCTCTTTCCACAGCAATATTTTATCAATACATCCCCATATTTTGGTACAAACAATCCGCCCTCACCCTATATCCCAATAGTTATGACTCACCCTGTATAATTTCTAATGAATAAATTCCCTTTCGTGGTCGTTGCATATTCCTACATTTTCACGTGATCCTGTTTTATTTTGAAAGATCTGAAGTTAAAATCCTTTCCTCAATATATTATGTATATTATGATACTACGACAATATGAGCAAAATCGAAAAAAATTATTCAATATGTTATATATGGTTATATTGAGGCCAAGGTCTCGCATTCTAAATTCTCATTATTAACATAATTCACTATTTAACAAACATACAATGAAAAACAGCCAATAATTGTTGGTTCTGCTATCACTGGAAAATAAAATACTGCCAACTGAAACCAGCAGATTTTCAATATTACACAAGAATTATTTAACTCATCTCGGATGTCATAATTCGGTCTATACTTATTTCCTTATAAGATCTAAATGAAATGTCTGATTCCAATCGATTCTAATGACCTTTAATGGAAAGCAATTAGCCTGAAATAAACCAAGTGTGGTGATCTTTTGCTACAATGGTTCACGTTCAGGGGCAAGGTTTCAACCGTTTTAACAGTAAAATAAAACGTTTCCAAGGTATCTACTTACTTTTCGAAAGCTAAATTGGAAATCCTCCATCATAAAGGCTGTTTGAAATTTCGAAAACCTTATATTTCAACGTCTCAGGAATAATAGGAATGAATTTCATAACAAAATCTAGATAACTGTTCACCGCATTCTTGGATTCAATAATGGCATTGGGTTTCAATTCGATTCGATGCAAGTGCAACAAACGGATCTTTAATCTGGAATATTTTATATGGTGGACGTTCCATTTGCCGTTGCAGTATACTATCCGTCACGCTGCATGGAACAACTTATTATTTGTTAATTAGCTGAAATTAAAGCTTTATATCAACTGGTAAGATCTGTGTGTGTTGCGTTCATTTCTCGTAATTAGAAAAAGGGTTATTCCAGCATGATACTAACAGATGTACTTTCCTTTTCGCTTCTTCGTATCTTCGAATAAAATCTACTCAAAGCTTTTCGACATGTGTGTTTCCCAAATAATTCAAAATGTTTCCTTGTCGAAGTAGACCTAAAACTTCCGTTCTAATATTTTATTTGAACATTTCACATGCTGCAAAAAACAAAAACCCAATATTTCAGAGCTAGGTTTTCCAGAACATGTCATTTGAAACTAGTAATGGCGTAATTTTAGAATTCAGAGCGGACGTTTATTGACTAGTATTATAAGGCTAGATCTAGTACCCAATCATGAAAGATAATTACCCATACCATACCTTATTCTATCTGGACTCTAATTTCAAAAGTTTTACGCAAAGGAGGTTACAAAAATCCAAATGACCTAAAATGTTCAAATAATGAAATTACGTGGGATACTTCGGCAAAAAATACGTTTTAATCTCATATTATAATACTCATATACCTACTCATTATTTTGTAAGTTGTCCACCTTTTGATATTGCGGTGCCGATAAAGCAAATGAGAGCTAATCAGAGAAGATTTGCATAGAAAATTAATGCGTTGTCGGGAAACTGCATAATCTCGCAGATCTCGCTCTCTATATGTATATGACGCAAAATGACAAGTGATAATTTGAGAGAAATAATAACTCATTTCTGATGATTTCTCTACGGTAGAGTGATTTATGTAATATGTAATGATACCTACTTTGAGGTCACATTCATCATGAATTTTTGAGCATTGACAGTTCCGCAGTTTTTCCTTGAGTGGTTGATGAATTCAATTCGCAAACTACCATAATATTGTCATAAACAATTTGTATTATCGTCGTCAGCCTTAAAAATAGAGCAGACACATTATATTCAATTTGGACAAATTGATGGATTTTCATGTACTTACCTAGTGAAATAAATAATGTTGGTCGTTTTTTTATTGTGTTGAAAAAAGAGTCTCCTACCTTTTTTGCACTGGTACTCCAAAAATAATCCACTAAACACTGTGTAGGTAACTATATAATAATGTCATTCGTAGGGGAGATTTAAAACCCAAGTCGCACTAAATTACGTCTTTCAATTACTAGAACTACGAAAATATTTATTCGAACAAACAACACAAACACTAACAGCTAAATATTGAGGGGTCTGGATGCGTGTATGTTGTATGTGTATATATTTTTTCCTTTATGTCATGTAGAGAATGTGTATCGATTTAAATTCACGGCTGCCAACTGCATCGACCGCGACCAACTGCTAAACTAATGGCGGGATAAAACTCCGTGCGTTTCGCCGGTTCTACTTTTCCCGCATCGTTGCCGATACTTGCACCAAATATGTCTCAAAAAAATATAAGGGTGTATGCCAAACTGTACCAGCTGCTTCTACGACCAAAAATAGGAAGAAAAGTTTCGATGAAGATTAGTCGAGAAATGTCTCCTAAGGGAGCTACGTAAATTCACATCTCTTTACAGAAAAAAGGTGGTCTTGTAAAATCATTTTAAAAATATTGTTACCTCTCAGATATTATGCATAACATTACAATAAATCGTAGTGGATATGGAAAACAGTCACAAAAATTGAAGTAGTTTTTATTTACATTTTCCTATTTCACGCGCCTCTATAAAATTGTTTGGTTTGTTTGATTTTTTTATAGCCACTATGATTTAAAACGTTTTAGATAAGATGTGAGTGTAACAATATTTTCAAATCAATTTCTCTCAAAAATGATACATCCTGATCGATACGGAACAAGAACATCGTTTTAAACGGTGTGGATTTTCATAATCCGAGATTATATTTTCGAAAAATATGCATACAAAAAAGTTTGAGCAATATTTAATGTAGTCCCACCCTGTATTATACACTCCTGAATGAAATTTTGAATGATTTTATTTTCACTGCATTGGACATGGAAAGTTTAGTGCATAATTTTACCACATGGCGTTTCGGAAATATTCAAAAAACATCATCTTCAGAAGTACTCCCTTGGGACCCATTTTCGACTCATGTTTATTGAAACTTTTCTTCCTATTTTTGGTCTTTGAAGCCGCTGGTGAAGTTTGGCAGGCTGATTTCGGGACACCCTGTATTCCCATGTCGGAAGATGATCGGTACCTGTCCACGACCAAATTTGGATCATATTTTAATGCAATGAAAATGCAGGACATTGTTTAAAATAATGTAATTCTATGAAAAAAATCATATTTAGATTTTTTTCACAGACAAAAAAATGTTCTTACAGTGTTGGTCATCATATGCTACTGAATATTTGAAGTTGGTCTATCTGTGAAAAAAAAACTAATATGATTATTGAAAACGGACGACAATGGTCAATATAATATTTTCTGAAAAATACAGGGTGTCCGCTAAAAGGAGGTCAATCCATTAACCATATATCCCTTGAACGAAAACAATATGAGCTTCTAAATCCAATTTTTCATTTTAGCCCTTCATATTCGTTATACAGGGTGTCAAAGTTGGAAATTAAAAACTGTTTTTTCCTAATTACTCGCGTATTTAATGAGATATTAATCTCAAAATAGGTACATTACTTCAGCACGAAGAGTTACATCGTGTAAGGAAAACATAATTTGGCACAGAAATCTGAAAACTGTCAAATCCTCTACCCTGTGTACTCTATGTTGAACAGTACCATTTTAGTAAATAAAAATGTAAACATATACTCACTTTCTTCATTGATTTGTTATGTCCTACACCTACAGTGTTGCGGGAAAAAAAAGTGTACGAAAGACGACCAAAAAACAGTATTTTCCTGGCTTGTTACGTAAATTGTTATATGATTCATCTTCTTTGGTTTGGGTAAGGAATAAGGCCCTTTGCCTTAGTCACCGAACATTTTATTTACATGAATGAAGGAACTGATTTTGATTCGGTACCTGAGTTTTTGTAACATAATGCTGCTGCTTTCTCGTTTCTTAATCCGAATCTTATCGGAGATTTGGCGGAACCGCGAACGACGTGGCAACGTCGCTAGACCAGGGAAGTGGTGATCGGGATCGGATCCGGTGAGTCCGCCCGGAAAGAACGGCGGCGGTGGCGTCACGTGGTCACGAGACGAAACGCAACTAGAACTCCGGTCTCACTGACTTACAGACTTACTCCATTTCCTTTCCTGTTTCTCTATAATATATTCCTGCTGCACGATTTTGAACAGAAACCGGCGCTTTCTTTCCTTTTGGCTTTGATTTCATGTTTTAGATTTTTAATTCTTTCTTAGGAAGCAAATGAAAATGTTTTGAATAATTTTTTTTGTAAACTGCCTTCTGATGGATACTAGTTATTTCAACTGATTTGATTCAGCAACCAATGTTGCTACCAAAGACATTCTTTTTTGAATCGAGTATTTCCTCTGAGAACTAATATAGCTATAGGAAAAACAGAAAATGTTTGATTTATGATTGCATATTACATTGTTGTAACAGTTTTAAAGGGATACGAACTGACTGACTGTATACTGTATGTGCATCTATGCATTTGCCTATTCAGCAGAACCTTTCGAGTTTATCGTTATCTGGTATTTCCATCGTTCCTTTTCGTTTGTTCTCATCCTAACAAGGCGTTCTTTTGTACCATTTCTGTTTACATTATCTGGGTCGGTAACCTTTGCAGACTAATAAATATCCCGTGCATTTATGGCGTTTGGTGCGAAACACGAAACTCTCCAAGTCTCCAACTAATCACCAGAAATTCTCGGTCTGTGTTGGCTTATTTCGTCAACATTTATTACTATTTTCAAGGCGAAATATTCTTCGTCTTTGCTCTCCCAATGGAAAATAATCCTCTTGTATCCAAATGAATCAAATGTTTTTGTACCTCTATTGGTGTTTTCTTGTTTTTTCGTAATTGTTCATATCCTTCTACTGAAGATAATTTCCTTCTTCCTTTTTGTTATCATTATCTGAGGAGCTCTTACGTGCGCATATAGAAAACTTTGATTCAAAGAGTAGATAGTAGAATATACTCGAAAGCAATTTACATTAACTTACAATTGACAGCTTCCTATCTGTTCTATTATTAGGCCCATATCTCGGGCATTGCATATAGGTACTTGAGGTTCAAAGAGGTGGTTTTTCTTTGTGATATTCCAACATCAAGGTCACCTTTCCGGTGATTTCAGTTAACTTCTATTCGACCAGATTTACTTTAGTATATTTCCACTCTCAAATTGCAAAAACATTGTGAAATAAATATCAGTTCGAAAAACTAAACAACACGCTTTTATATACCTACTAATAAAAGTAGAAAATAAAAAAAAGGTTGTGGTAAGTACACAACATTGAAAATTTTTTATCAACACACTTTCATTATTTTATTTTCAACTTTTTTAGTTTGGCTATCTATAAAACCGTGTTTCTCTAGTGTTTTAAACTACTACTAGCTGACCCGGCAAACGTAGTTTTGCCATATACATTATTTCCAGAAAATATTCTCTTAGTTGAATTTTCATCAACACACTTTTATTATTTCTTTTTATGTTAGCATCTTCAGTGTAGTGTATTATCGTGCCAAAAGTTCCAGTCTTCGATATAGTCCAAACTACTATTTATTTTTACATCTTTTTAGTTCGACAATCTATCTCTTTATTTTTTCAAACTATATACTATCTATTTTCTACATCTATTTAGTTTGGCTATCTATATCTATAGTTTTTCAAACTACTATATATTTATTACAAAGTTCGTTCGCCATATTGGATGCGCTATCTTGAGTTTTGAGTTTCCCAATTTTGAAAAAATCATAATCTCCGATTCCGAAAACCCCCAGAGATATCAATTTTGAATAGAATCGGATCATAATTTGAAAACTCGTCCGCCATATTGTATCCGCCATTTCTGATTTCCTCATTTTGACGAAGGAATCATAATCTCCGACCCAGAAATCCCCCAGATAGGTACCAATTTTGAATAGAATCGGACCATAATTACAAAATTCGTCCGCCATATTGGATCCGCCATCTTTAATTTCCAAATTTTGACGAACGAATCATAATCCCCGACCCCGAGAACCCCCAGATACCAATTTTTAATAAAATCTGATTACAAAACAAAATGTTGACCAAAATATCATAATCTCCGACCCCGAATAGCCCCAATTTTGAATTGAATCGGACCGTGATAATTACAAAACTTGTCTGCCATGTTGGATCCATCATCTTGAATTTCCAATTTGAAAAATAGCTTACGACTCATTCTCAGACCTACCAAATATGCACAAATATTTTCATAAGGATCGGTCAAGCCTTTTCGGAGGACTTTGGCAACAAACTAACAAACACCGTGACAAGTGAATTTTATATGCAACAAACAAACGAACACCGATACAAGAGAATTTTATATAATAGATTTATTTTCATTTTTTATTTCGGTCAACAACGAAAGCGTGTTTTATAGTCTTCTTCTATTTTTTGTAACAAGTGCAAGACACTGCCGTGTCTTTGGATTTAAAAATCAAATCGATCATCATGAAGATGCTGATCTGAATAATAAAACAAAATTATTGAATTATGCTAATGTCATCGGTCGTTGGTACGAGTACTTGGTGAAAGACATCACAGCCGTGTCTGTGGACAAAAAGCATTGTAAAAAGTTATTCGAAGGAATACAAACATACATTTGAAAAAAAATCGCTCATCATGAAGATCATCAGGAACAAAACTATTAAATGATGCCATTGCCATCGGTCCTTGATAAGTTTGCGAAGTTTTAATTCAATTCAACGTTTTGAAGGGGGTCAAAATAACGTTCGAAGATTCCGTTGCATACAAATATTACAAACATACATACCAAGCTATGTAATGATAATAAAAGCGTGATGATATCACACACGAGTGAATAGAGGAGTTTAGAATCTACTACAACCAATCGCAGTGAGAAGTTTTCTTTTTCCTGATTGACAAAAACTGTGAAAAGCCTCAGAAGTTTCTCGTTCCGGCCAAAGCGGAAATTCGGCCAACATCCTTATGACCTATCTTTTTAATTGGATTATTTTCCGTTTAAAACTTGCATCACCGTAGATCAAAGGAAATAGTCACTACATGATATGGCTGACGAGTTCAGCCGAGAGGGCCGAGGTCAGGTGACCGCATCGACTATAAGAAGAATCGTGATATTCGTGATTCATTTTCCACTCGTACGTATTTATTTTGTGAGAACCCGAGACGAAAACGGTTCTTCGAAGCAGACATCTCGACAATAGCGGCCCACTTCACCTTTCAATGCCCTTTTAGAAGACTCCAGCTGA